TTCAGACAGAGGGTGGTATGAGAACAATAAAGTGCTTTTTGAACATTAAAGCATGGAGACATGTCACAGTAGAGCAGTGTTTCTCAAAGTGGGGGGCACGCCCCCCTGGGGGGCACAGAGGCATGACAGGGGGGGCGTGAGAGACCAGCAGGAAAAATGGTTATGAAAAAAATAAAATAATGTAAATCATAATTTGGAAAATTATTGATTCGAAAATAATATGATACAGTACAGTACAAGTACGCCTGGGTCTCTGTTTCATTCAAGCTTGGCTCTGTGTGTGTGTGGAACGAGCCATTTTGTGTGCGAGCGAGAGAGAGGAAGGGAGGGAGCTCCATGGGACCTTATTTCGAAAAAATTATGTATTGAAGTCAATGGAGAGAGAAAGATTATCTTTCGTTCCCGTTTGAATTGTGCCACGAATTACTCATATGTTTGTCAATTTAAAAGATAATTTCGCAAGTCAAAAAAATAAAAATGTGTCGTAAAACTGTGAAGTAACACATTTTTTTGTGTGAAACGCTTAATGAACTACATCTCTGGTCTTGCAGACTCTCACAACAACACACGTCACCAAGATGGCCGTCACTACTGTCTTGTCAAAAAAGTGATTGACAACCCTCACTATCAACACGTCCAGAAGAATGTCATGCAAAGCTGCCTGCCTGCCTTCCTTTGATTCTCTCTGAACTGCCTGATCTTTTAAATGTTTAATGTCAACCATGTGTGCAGATAGCATGAAGTAGAACAGATCGCCGATGCTAATGTAGCGTTAGCGTTAGCATTTCTCCCCCGGGCTTAAATGGTGTATTATAGTCTAGAATGATCACACCGGTGTGACAGTACTTTGAAGCACACAGGCATCTTGTTAAAGTTATCTTATCTTAGCTATCTCTTATATTTAGCGGAGGAAAACAATTGTGACATCAGTTATGACATCACTTAGGCGACTCTGTGATTTGTAGTCTTTCTAGTTGCGTATTTTTCATATAATTCAACAGTTTTACGACAAACTGTGACTTTTTTTACATGGAAATTATTTTTTAAGATTGACAATTCAAACGGGATCGAAAGACAAGTTTTCTCTCTCCATTGACTTCAATACATAATTTTTCCGAAATAAGGTCCCATGGACCGGAAGTAGATGGGCGTGACTTCGCCACTCTCTACAAGTCCGGGCTGCGGTGGTTTGTTGATACATGTCGTCTTCTTCTGTTTGCTTTAATCGAGGCTACGTAGTTATGCAGCGCCCCCATCGTCAGTAAATGGAAGTACTACAAAGAATCCCTTTTAGTGCAGTTATTTCACAAGTTTAGTTATATACACAGCTCGACAAATATTACCGAGGTCCGGACCTCGGTGACCTCAATGGTGGATACGGCCATGGGTGTAGCCTACCCCAGCGCTGACACTGGTGGGATGTATGGGGCGGGCCATTCGGCACATGCGTTAAATGCGTTTAATATTTTAACGCAATTAATTCAAAAAATTAATTACCGCCGTTAACGCGATAATTTTGACGGCATTAGTTATAATACTTTGCCACATGGCAATCTGTGCAAAAAAAATGAAAAGAAAGAAAATGTTGATATTTGGCAAAGTGTGTCTTCTTATCACAGCATTAGTGGCTGCAATGAGCCTGTTTGGCACTGCACATTTCTTCAAAACAGGGTTGCAGGCTCAGTGGCGGCGCCAGAGATTTATTTTGGGGTCCTGTGGGGTAGCTTGACGTTTCATAGAGGGTGCTCAAACATTTAGGGTTTCCCATTAATGTACCGGGCGCTACAGAGGAATTTTCTACTGCAACAATCCCCACGCAAATACACAGTGTACCCTCGGTGACGTCAATGGTGGATACGGCCCTGCACACACCACCTATAAAAATAGCACTTTACCCCTGCTTATGCCGTCAGCTGATTATCGAGCCTTCATTGTGACAGTCGCGGGTACACTGTGTATTTGCGTGGGGATTGTTGCAGTAGAAAATTCCTCTGTAGCGCCCGGTACATTAATGGGAAACCCTAAATGTTTGAGCACCCTCTATGAAACGTCAAGCTACCCCACAGGACCCCAAAATAAATCTCTGGCGCCGCCACTGAGCCTGCAACCCTGTTTTGAAGAAATGTGCAGTGCCAAACAGGCTCATTGCAGCCACTAATGCTGTGATAAGAAGACACACTTTGCCAAATATCAACATTTTCTTTCTTTTCATTTTTTTTGCACAGATTGCCATGTGGCAAAGTATTATAACTAATGCCGTCAAAATTATCGCGTTAACGGCGGTAATTAATTTTTTGAATTAATTGCGTTAAAATATTAAACGCATTTAACGCATGTGCCGAATGGCCCGCCCCATACATCCCACCAGTGTCAGCGCCAGGGTATGGCTGGGGTAGGCTACACCCATGGCCGTATCCACCATTGAGGTCACCGAGGTCCGGACCTCGGTAATATTTGTCGAGCTGTGTATACAAAACGTGTGAAATAATTGCACTAAACGGGGTTCTTTGTAGTACTTCCATTTACTGACGATGGGGGCGCTGCATAACTACGTAGCCTCGGTTAAAGCAAACAGAAGAAGACGACAATTATCAACAAACCACCGCAGCTCGGACTTGTACCCTTATACATCCATGCTTGAACCGGAGCAGCGAAGGAGTGATGAAGTATCTAGAGACCTGAGTCCAGCGGGCTGCTTGTGTTTCTGTTCATCAGGACATCATATGACCAGCAGATCCTGTGTGAACGCTCTACGTTAGTCAGTGGACGTCAGACAACATGCACACTAACTTATATTGCAGCTATAGGCTATACTTTGGTTTAAATTGCGTGAATAAACTAGCTAGAGAGCTAAAGTTAATTACATTCATCCAATGTCAGAAGGATTACATTTTAACAAACGTTGTAATGCTTTTCTTTCATTTAAATTTGAGTAAAACATTGAAGATGTATATTCTTTTGAGAGAGAGAGAGAGAGAGAGAGAGAGAATGTAGGCCATCTATTTATATATCTATAACAATAGTCTTAATTTACAATAGGCATAATTTTAAAACAACATATATCTATTGGAGTTATGATGTCATAATAACATACAATTGTATAAATCATCATTTGCTTACATCTTTGTTCTCTTTTGAGAATCAAACAAAACTGACTGCAAACAAACAAGTGAAATGAACTAAATGGCTGAATTGCTTTAAATTCACAGGCAGGAGCGACAAGTCCTCACTTGTCGCTCCTGCCTGTGAATTTAAAGCAATTCAGCCACTTTTTGCTCCTCCTCAGGAGCAAAAAGTGAACAACGAGGGAGAGGTTGAACAAAGAGAAAGAGTAGAGGACAGAGAGAGTAATGAACAGGAAGAACACAGAGAGACTAAAGAAGATGGAAGAGAGGGGGCAGGTTATGGAAAGGAGAGAGACATGGAAAATGAATGTTGACAATGTTTTGTGATCATTTTAGCCTCTTCTGCATGTCCAGATCATTAATAGTAACAATCAACTGATTCTTATGATGTATTACACTTTCAAAAATAATTTATGCTGACATTGTCAGCCCACTGACATGGTTTGAAATCAATATATTATCCAGTTTGTGACACCCCACAGGACTTAAAAAGCACCTAACTAGATCATGAAAATCCCAAAAATCTCGGGGGGTATCCCCCGAACCCCCCTAACATGTTTGGACCTCGGTATTTCGGAAATCCTGGATACGGCCCTGGCTACACCCATACCAAGAAATGGCTTAGCCCCACCATGAAAAATGATGTTAAAGTAAGCAAAAATAAAGTCTGCCAACTCGCGGAGTAAATTGCACAGACAGCAGTTAGTAAGATTAATTTCAGTAGCCACTTGTCTGGAAATACCGAAGACCAGAAACGGTTTTGAAAACGTTTGTCACGTAGTGATCGTCTTCTTAATAGAACATCCTTGATAATGTCTTCTGGCCAATCAGAATCAAGATAACGGCGTGGTGTTGTTGCAGGAAGTCCCGACGGATAATACTTTTGCTGTAGTTCAGGGGTGCACATAACTGGTACGCAGGTTATGTGCGTAATCTGAAATGCGTACCGTCACTTGTGTCACAAAGCGCATTTGCGTACCGACGTACTTGTGAAGCTTTTCCAGAAGGCGGTTAGATCACCGGACGACAGAGTCGGTCTCCGTGTGCACAGACAGGGCTGCTGTTAACGTCGGTCTGTACAACGGAATTGTGCCAAAACTACGCCAACCGGCTGCGGAGGGAGACTCCCCCCCTTCACTGGAGAACTGCGCTAAAACAGCTGATCCCCCCCCCCCCCCTTCGACTTTCCTTTAGTACTCCCCCGTTGATAGAAATCAACACGTAATGAATTAAGACCCCACGGTTTGATGATTGATAGGTGCTCTCTTTCATTTTGACACACAGAAAATGTTATAATAAACATACATAGGCTACTGTATGTGAAATGGATATATCCGCCTTCTTTCATTTATCTTTCCATTCCCACAACAATATACATAAATAAATAGCATATTTTGGACATAGTTCGAATGGTGATTAATCGTGATTAATTAATTTTTAAGCTGTGATTAATCTGATTACAATTTGTAATCGTTTGACAGCCCTAATTATAACTTATTTTTCTAGCAAAGGGATTGCACAATTGTATTATGTATTTTGTTGTTGTTGACCACACAGAATTATGGAGCATTGTTTTATTAGCACTGTTCTATCAAAGTGATTTTTTTTAAAGGAAAGCTCACGTTCATATTGATGTATTTTAATAAATGTTAACTTGGCCCATTACGTAACTATTTGTGTTGGGGGGGGCCCGACTTTTTTTTTTCTCCAAAGGGGGGGCCTGACAGAAAAAGTTTGAGAACCACTGCAGTAGAGACACAAAATACTAATATGAACCTGAAGATGAGCATGCTAGGGCCTCTTTAAGCGGAAAGACAGATTTGTACACACACACACACACACACACACACACACACACACACACACACACATTACCTGCATATGTGTTCTGGAAGCCCAGCACTAAGTGGTAGAACACCAGCAGGTATGTGAACCACATGGAGGCGCAGAGGTCGTTCAGAACGTGTCCCACCGCATAGCTGAGCTTCAGGAGGGGGGGCAGAGACCTCTGAGCGTCCGACATTATGGCTCCAGATAAAACACTCAAAACAGAAGTCACGCGCCTTCATCAGCTACAGCGATGACAGAATATGCCCGACACACTGGCGGGTAAAACGGACCTCAACACATCTGAATAACGTCACACGGATTTTCGGTTCCCCTTTTCACATGTAAATGTTCTAAAAATATACTTATCATTTATGGTTTCCGTTCAGCAAGACATATGTTGCCCTGACACAATTATATTTCGTTCCATTCCTTTGGTTTCAATGTCCTTGTGATCAGGTGATGTTGGAGAGCTGAGCCAGAAGGAGCACCTCAGAGACCGGCACAGAGCTGCTACTGGGAGGAAAAGGGCTTCCTTCGCCTTATTCGTACCCGTATTTTGACATGTCAACACCGAACAAACTAGATACAAAAGTTAAACATGACTTCATGCGAGAGGTATCAGCCTTCTGTCAGGGCTATCCCATTAAAGGTAACCACAATTCGACACAGCCCACTCCAGTGACTGTTCTTCATACAACGGCAGCAGCGGCGGGTAACGTTAACTCCTGCTCGGTACGGGAACACCGAGCCGTTGCACCGGTAACCTGTAGCTAACCGGCTACACACGTTTAGCAATTCAAATACAGATGTAAACAACAACGCTGACCGGTAATGATCATGTAAGCACAAAAGGAGGGATGGACCAATAGGTAACTCTCCTTCTCCTCTTGGCCAATAGGGGAAGCCTCGCGGGCTCACTTCCTCACGTGAGCCAAAGATCGTATATTTACCAAAGCGTAGGAGCCATCACTCACTTTCGCCGTTACGTGGTAAACTAAACATGTTAAACATTAAACGTTGTGTATCTACAATTCTCTCAATTTAGAAACTAAAAGGAATTATTAGACACATTGGAGTTATTGTTCTAAAATGTTTGCATTGCCGAAACATGTTCTGTTTATAAATGTTAAATACAACTGAGCAGAATTTAGTATATTTAATCACATAAAGGTATGGTTATTTATATAGATGTCAAAGCACACCCACAGTTCCAGTTCCCTCTGAGCAGGTTACATAAGCCGCTTCACTCATGTATAGAGTGCCACATTGACGCGTCCTAAAACCATGGACCGAAAACCTATGCCTAAAACCCGGAAGTAAACTCCTTCCGGTTCCTTCGACAAAAACCAATGCAATTTCTCCATAGGATTTGGGGAAATAGATCGAAATAAGGTCTGTGGTTGACATACATTGAAGAGACGGATCACGTTTTGTTCAGCCGGATAATATGCGGCTGAACAAAACAAAACCCTACTTTTTATATTACATTATTATTACATTGCATTTAGCTGAGAACAACCAGGGTAAAAAATCGCGCTGAGCCGTGGATGCACTCCGGCATACTGACCGCCATGAAAACCAGAGACAAAAAATGCTCTGAGTTTCATAAAAGTCAGTCAATGCTTTCCAAAAGCACGAGCAGTGAACTCCAGGCCCACGTGACTGAACTCAAAATTGAAAGAAACAGACTAAGAAATGACGTAAGCTCCATGATCAAAACTGCCAAAAAGAATTTCATCAATATCAAAACTGAGGAAAACAAAAATAAACCCCGTGAACTTTGGAAATTACTCAATAACCAGCTTGGCTGCGGTAAAAAACTCAAAACGAGATTTTCTAACTTAAACATAAAGACAGATAACAGGCTCATCACAGACAACTGGATGTGGCCAAGTACTTGAACATTTTTTTCACAAACATAGTCACAACTCTTGTAAATAAATTACCCTCCCACTCAGGGCTTTTTGGAGTAGATCACATCATGACCTACTACAAAAACCTAGGGGTACGCAAAGATGATTTCAGTCTAGCAAGGGTAACAACAGCAGAGGTACTCATTAAACTGAGCGCCCTCCAACCTAACAAGGCCACTGGCCACGACAATATCCCCTCCAAATTCCTCAGAGACACAGCAACCGCCATCTCACCAGTCATAGCTCACATAATTCACCTCTCCATAAAACAGGGAAAAGTACCCAAAGACTTCAAAATTGCAAGAGTAACCCCCCTGCACAAAAAGGGCAGCAAATTGGACCCAGTTCAACTACCGCCCTGTTTCTATACTTACCTCCATCTCGAAAGTCATGGAAAAAATAGTATATGAACAGGTCGAAAAGTACCTGGCGGAAAAGAAACTAATCTATGAATTTCAATCTGGCTTTAGAACATCCCACTCCACTGACACATGCCTTCTTTATTTGAGCGACCACATCAAACAAGAGGTGGACGAGGGCAAGTACTGCGGCATGGTGATGCTGGACCTACAAAAGGCTTTCGACACTGTCAATCACCCCATTCTGATTGACAAGCTAAAAGCAATTGGTTTTGATAAACTATCGGTGAGCTGGATGCAATCCTACCTGGAGGGGAGAGAACAGATGGTGGAGGTAAACGGTACTCTGTCCCCCCCCCTCCCAGTGAGCTGTGGTGTTCCACAAGGAAGCATATTAGGTCCGTTACTGTTCCTAATTTATGTAAATGACATGTCATCAGCATGTGACTGCAACTTGTTCCTGTTCGCGGACGACTCAGCCCTGCTGGTCTCTGACAGGAACAGGTTGCAGGTTGAAAAAACCCTCAGCTCCGAGCTCGGCAGAATCTGCACCTGGCTCGCCGATAATAAATTATCATTACACCTGGGTAAAACAGAGTCCATTCTCTTCGGTTCGAAACATAATCTCAGCAAATCCGACGACTTCTCAGTTGCAGTGGGCGACATTATTGTCACAAGTAAGAAGGAAATTACATACCTAGGATCTATTCTTGAGGCAAACCTCTCCTGTGACAAAATGGCATCCAATGTAATAAAAAAAGTCAATCAAAGAACTAGATTCCTATACCGGATCTCCTCTCTGGTAAACAAAAACACCCTGCAAACTCTGGCAGGAGCACTCATTCAAGGGTACTATGACTATGCTTGCACGTCATGGTACCATAGCACCTCCAAGGCGCTAAAAATAAAACTTCAAACATCGCAAAATAAACTGGTCAGACTACTGCTTGACCTTTCATCTAGAACCCACCTCACCTCTGCCCACTTTGACAACCTAGGATGGCTTAGAGTAGACGACAGAGTACAGCTACTTGCAATGGGCCTGGTCTACAAGATCCACTACACCTCTATGGTACCCATGTACATGTCAAAATTCTTCCCAAAGGTCAAGGAATACCATGATCATAACACCAGAGGGAGCTCCACAAATCATGTGAAACCCAGATTTGGCACAAAAAAGGGGGAATACACGTTTCGCAATTATGCCACATCAAGGTGGAACGCTCTTCCCACAACTGTAAAGGAAAGTAAAACTATACTTACCTTCAAAACCTCTCTTAAAGAGCACCTTCGGGGGAGAGCATTGCAAAACTGGCCCCGGTAATGGTACAAATCTCAACCTGTCGTTCAATGGACAGCTTCCCCCCCCCCCATCTATGTATATACTCGCATTTTAGACTCTGTTACTAACTGTATATCTGTAGACTTGGTATGTCTTAAATGTCCGGTTAGGATGTATTAGAACGAAATCTAAAATGAAAATTGTAAATAAGCAATCTGTATGTAAAAAACCACCTGTATGTAAATTGTAAATAAGCCATCTGTATGTCTTATATGTCTTAAATGACATGATGAATTGGAAATGGGGGACCCTGATGTAAACAAGACGAAAGTCTTTCTCTGGTCTGCATCCCCTTAACAATTGTATGTTTTGAGCTGTACTGTACTGTACCCAATATACAAGCTGTTAATAAACTTTTCAATCAATCAATCAATCAATCTGAGGCTTTTATCCAAAGCGACTTACAATAAGTGCATTCGACCAGGAAGACACAACCTTGAAGAAAACAGAATCATATAAGTACATCAGGTTTCATAGAGCCAAACATTTCAAGTGCTACTCAACTGGCTTTAGGTAAGCCAGTCCTTTATTAGTATAAAAGTGCTCTGTTAGCAGTTATTTGTTAGTAATTCTATCGCTCGAGGTGGAGTCGAAAGAGAGGAGTTTTCAGTCTGCGCCGGAAGATGTGCAGGCTTTCTGCTGTCCTGATGTCAATGGGGAGCTCATTCCACCACTTTTATAATTTTCAAATCATAAATCTAATCGATAGATTTATTGAAGTTAATTTATATGATTCGAAAATTATAAAAGTGTACCTCATAACATATAACATGAGTTCATTTATGCACCTTTGAGCCTGTTTCAATAAGAAGGTTTAATGGAATATATGGATAACTTAAGCTTAAACACTCAGAAGTACAATGATAAAATCTAAGTCATGTAAAGTTGAGTCTGGATTTACAATACTGAATGATTTAGATATTTGAGAGAGGGGGCCACATTTGACAATATCTTGGTTTTCTATGAGCTCTCAGCCACTAACGGCTGTCAAACCTCTCTTCATTCTTATCCCAGTGTTTCAGTCACAGCATATCCAAGTCAATGAGGCATCAAATGAAGACCTTTGAAAGCATAACAATTAGTTTACTATTTCCTACTGACTAATAATCATGCTTGTTTATAATTTCTCTCAATTGGTTTGTGATATTTTTTTTCCATGACACATAGTTCACTTTAACATCCGGTTGTTGCACAAGTTGGCTTAAAGGAAAAGGAAATTCACAGAAAGAAACACTTCCCTTCGTCTTTACCCTTTTTGGATGATGAACTAGTCATTTTGAAATGTTTTTCTAAGAATTACCAACTCTAATCTCGAAGTGGTCCAGAGCAGAGTGAGCCTTACACAATGTAAAACCTCTGCCTGTTGACATGAGGCCAGCATATCACATCTCGTAAAGGAATATGGAACCAAAATAGTGCAAATTAGATGTACATGTTTACATTTTAAGCCACAGAAAAACAATATTGGCTTTTTTACTGAGCATGTTAGCAGAGGAAAATTTACCCTTTTCAATTTACCCTATTTCTTTTGTTTACAATGACTGTTAGTTTCACAATCACAGCTATGGGTGCTTATGTTTAATTATGTATTTGGTTAAAACACTCACTCAGTGTTTCCATTTCACGAGGTTCCCTCTTTCGGCCTAGCTCTTCTACTGTATGTACTTTTTATATTATTTTTACTTAATACCGGTTTATTAATTCATAAATGTAATTTGAATTATTATATAATTGTCCTTTTGTCATTGTCTTTCTCCCTCGGGTATGGAATGGTAAAGGGGTGGGGGGGATTCTTATGTTGTCCACTGTTTTACCTACTCACCTTGTCATGACTAAGCTGTTTTGTTCTGTTGGAAAGAAAGAAAAACCCCACTTAAACATAGCATACTAAATGTGTTATGGCTGTGGACAGTAGGCTATGCTCTCATTTATGGAATGATACAAAGAGATTAACACAATACTCTCTGTAAAACCCATTGACTTTATATGTCAACAAATAAATGTTAAACCTGGCTTGAGATTTGTTCTGAGGCCTGTACTACGAAGCCGGATCTTCGCTTAGCGAGCTAACTTCAGGGAAAACTCTTGGTTTCCGGTCCTACGACACTGGTTCTCTTCTTACCGGGGTAGATCTCCATGGTAACTTATGCTGAGCGGCTAACCTGCTACGGAGCAGCTTAAGTTCCAGGATAAGACATCAACTCAGTGAAAGCACCGCCGCCTGCTGACCAATCAGAGCTCAGTGTGCGGAG